GAGAATCAAGACTTGCCATGTAAAGGTACATGATCCCAACAATGAATGTAACTGTACTGTATCCCTAAATGTACCAATAAACTAAAAAAAAAAAAAGTCTCATCACTGCAAAGATGTGCTCTTCAGATTCCTGTTTCCAATACTAAACTGTTCCAATCCTATTGAGGAAATGTGGTCCTGGGCTTCACCGAGGAGGCGGAGGACATCTGACTGAGGTGGGGGTGGAGTGGGCTGTGTAAAGGCTCTGGAAGCAGACCAACATGGGTTCAGATCGCACCTCTTTCACTTACTACTTGAGGATCACGGACAGGTTTCCTCACCTTCAAGTGTCACTTGTTTGCCTGTAACATGAATTCCCTAAGCCTGTTGTACACACTGCTTGGAGATGAATGGAGGTCATGTGTGTCATGTACTTGGAACCGTGCCCAGCAGGAGGTCAGGACTTACCGCATGCTGCTGCTGTGGGACCCGAAGCTCTCAATGCCCCTGAACCTCTTGTCCTGAGCTTCCTTGTTTTCTCTCAGTCCTTCTCTAGCTCTCTGTCCCAGAGAGTTCCAAGGTTCTTCTATGGGTTTCTTTGATCCATGTCCTCCTACCCCTTCCCTGATATTTCTCTATCTCCATTCTCCTCTCTTGTGAATCCTTTTTAATGTATGTAATATTTTTTATTTCAATTCTTCATAAAGAAAACCCTCAGTATTCTTGGGTTTCAGCTATCCCATGTTTTTCAAGAGAAATTAAAAAATGAAAATTAACGACCTAGGAGAACATTGCACAATCTTACGTGTGTATGAAATCTTAAAATGCAAAGTGCATAGAAGCAGAGCATAGAATGTTGGCCATGAGAGGAGTAGGGAGCAGGAGATGCTATTTTATCTGCCGGAAACTTTCTCCTCCCTCCCTCTGCTTCACTTCATCAAATCCTCTCCATTCCCTAACCCTTCTTCAAGCCATTCCCCCAAGGAACTCTGGGTCTGCTGTTTCCTGTTTCTTAGTATAGTTTGTTGATTAATATCAGTATCTCCCTAATTACATGAGAAAAGAATCCTGCCTTTGATTGTTCCTATAACAGCCCCAGCATCAGTCACTTTGCGTGATCAGAGAGGGTATAGGTGAATATTTGATGAATGTGGAGACCAAACCCACATCCTAGAAGCAGCTTCTGTTTTTGCTTTACCCACAAGCCTACTCCAGTGGAGACCCCAGGCCAGACTCACCTCAGGGTCTCCAGGTGGCAGCGAGGGTGACCCAGGGTCTCACAAAGACTCTGCATAGCAGAGAGACTCAATGGATTTCCATTTAGATCCAGCTCCTTCAGGCTGCCAGTGACCTGGAGAACGGAGAAGAGAACCTTCCAACTGGCATTGGTGAGTGGTGCCCATGTGGACCTGAGGGAGAAAGAGATGTGAGCTGCATGTGCAGGAACTGAGGGGCACAGCCCTGTGCCACAGTGTGGGGCTCAGTCCCTTGCACACCCGCCTGCTATGCATAGCAGTGCAACCCAGGTCTGACCCGCCTTTCCACCTGCACTTTCACCCTCCACCTTGGCTTGGCTTCCCTTCTCTGTGTGGCTCTTCATTCTATAGCCTTCGGCAGATCATACTGTTGTGGCCATTTTACGTGTCTGCTTCTGCCTCAGTCTCGGTGCTCCTCATAGTTGGCATCTTTTTCTATTTCTAGTGCCCGGCATAGGGCCTGGCATAGTGGAGGGCCTTGGTAATTGTACAGGTGTAGTAACACCTGGCTTCCTTTGGCGCAGAATCCAGAGTCTCAGAGGCCAGAAGGAAAATGAGAGATGGGTGGTGAGAACAGAGCCCAGAAAATGTGGTTTGGGGATGACTGGGTTATGGAATGTTGCATAGGATCAAGTATACTGCTGTCTGTGTCCTTCTCTTGGAAGGCTATGGAAGGATAGCAAGAACACAGAGATGGCCTTCAGGTTAGAAATAGCCAAGAAGGACATTTTTAAAATATACTTTAAAACTTTTATATTACTACATGTATACTATATATAATGATCACACTGTGTGGAATTTGTACGTGTATATAATATATCTTAATTGTTTTTTGTCCTTTTTCATTCACCTCCCCTCCCTCTGACCTCTTTTCCCCTGCCCATTGACAAAAGTTGTTTCCTCTTTTTTCAAGTTTTAAAAAATGCAAATTCCTTTCCTTTTCTTCCTCTCTCCATCTCTCATTCCCTTTCCCATTTAAACAAGTTATTCCTACTTCCTAATACCTCCCCTCTAGCTTGCACCTTGTATACACTTTTAGTTTCTCACACAAGATAAACAATTCAACATTTAAATTTGTATGCCTGGTTTATTTCTGTCAAGATTATGGTCTTGTGGGCCAGGGATTTAGCTCAGTGGTTCAGCCATCTGCCTCGCAAGTGCAAGGTCCTGAGTTTGATCTCTGGTACCAAAAATATAAATAAATAAAAAAGATTATGGTCTTGTGTATAAATACAACATTTTATTTATGCATTCATCATAATGGACATATAGGCTGATTCCAAGACTTTGCTATTATAGACTGTTCTACTATAAACATAGGCATACATGTCGTGTGATGATGACTAAGTTTTCTGAGAAAATACCTTGAAGCAGAATAGCTGGGTCAAATGGACCTATAGCTTTAGATTTCTGAGCAATTTCCACACTGATTTCCATAATGGTTGCACCAGTTTACACTTCTACCAACAATGGAGAAGGGTTCCACTTTTCCTCACAGCCTTGCCAGCATTTGTTATTGGTTCATTTCTTGATGATAGCCATTCTTTTTGGAGTAAGATGGCATCTCAGTGTTTACATTGCATTTTTCAAAAGGCCAGCAATGTTAAACATTTTTAAAATGTATTTGTTGGATGTTTGTACTTCTTCCTCTGAGAAATGTCTGTTCATTACAGATGCCCATGTTTTGCATTGGGTCTTGAAATGTGGGAGTCTAATTTTTTGAGTTCTCTATGTATTCTAAATATTAGTCCTCTAAGAAGTAGCTGGCAAAATTATGTTTATCATCCTGTAGGTGCTCTTCACTCTTGGTTTCCTTTGTTGTGTAGAAGATTTTTAATTTGATGTGATCCCTTTTTATTCTTTATGATCCTGTGAAATTGGGGTTTTGTTCCTAAAATCTTTGCCTACACCTATGTCTTCAAGAGTTTTACCTGTTCTGTCTTGCATCAGATTGTTTCTTTTAATATTGACTTCTAGACTTAATTGACAGATTCAGTAAAGTATCTGGATACAAGGTGAATACCCAAAAATCAATAGCCTTTCTATACACAAATAACAGACAGACAGAAAGAGAAATAAGGGAAAAAATTCCTTTTACAATAGCATCCAAAAAAATGAAGTATCTAGGAATCAATCTAACAAAAGAAACAAAAGATCTCTACACTGAAAACTACAGCACTCTGAAAAAAGAAATCGAAGAGGATATAAAAAAATGGAAAGATATCCCCTGCTCCTGGGTAGGAAGAATCAACATAGTGAAAATGGCCATACTACCGAAACTGCTATATACATTCAATGCAATGCCAATTGAAATTCCAACACTATATTTCACAGAACTAGAAAAAAGAATCCAAAAATTCATTTGGAACCACAAGAGACCTAGAATAGCAAAAGCCATTATAGGCAACAGTCACATGGCACCAGGTGTAACAATTCCCAATTTGAAACTATACTACAAAGCCACTGTGATAAAATCAGCATGGTACTGGCAAAGAAATAGGCCTGAGGATCAATGGAACAGACTGGAAGACACAAAAACAAATGCAGATGTACTCAGCTACCTCATCTTCGACAAAGGAGCTCACCATCCTCAGTGGAGGAAAGATAGCCTCTTTAATAAATGGTGTTGGAAAAACTGGATATCAACCTGTCACAGATTAAAATTAGACCCTTATCTTTCGCCATGCACTAAATTAAAATCCAAATGGATTAAAGATCTAAATATTAAAACAGAAACATTAAACTTGCTGGAAAGTAAGTTAGGCAGAACTCTGGAAGACATTGGTATAGGAAAAGACTTTATGAACAAATCCTCAGTAGCACGGGAACTAGCAGAAAGAATCAACAACTGGGATCTCATCTTACTAAAAAGCTTCTGTACTTCAAAAGAAACCATTAGCAGAACTAAGAGACAATCTACAATGTGGGAAAAAATTTTTACCAGCTGTACCTCAGACAAAGGACTATTATCAAGGATATATAAAGAACTCAAAACAATCAGTCCCCCCAAATATAAAGACCCGATCCAAAAATGGGCATCCGAAATGAACAGACATTTCTCATACAAAGAAGTGAAAGCAGCAAGAAAATATATGAAAAAATGTTCCACATCACTGGTCATTCGAGAGATGCAGATGAAAACAACACTGAGATTCCACCTCACCCCACAAAGAATGGCTGCTATCAAGAAATCACACAATAACAAATGTTGGCGGGGTTGTGGGGAGAAAGGAACCCTCCTCCATTGTTGGTGGGAGTGCAGACTAGTGCAACCACTATGGAAATCAATATGGAGATACCTCAAAGAGCTTGGACTGGAGGTTCCATTTGACCCAGCCATCCCTCTGTTGGGTATCTTTCCAAGAGAACTAAAAGAATCATATCACAGAGAAGTATGTGCACCCATGTTTATAGCGGCACAGTTTGTAATAGCTAAATCTTGGAAACAACCTATTTGCCCATCCGTTGGAAACTGGATAAAGAAGTTGTGGTTTTTCTATAAAATGGAATATTACTCAGCCATAAAGAGCGAGAGAATAGATTCATTCATAGGAAAATGGATACATATTGAAGATATACTCCTAAGTGAAATAAATAAGTCCCACATGTGTAAATACCAAATAGTTTCCCTGGTGTGAATATTCTGCAACAATGCATAAGATTCTAATAAGATTACTGACATTTAGAAATGGGAGGAAAGGAGCTAAAGGTGTAGGGAAGGTGTGATACATAGGGGAAGAACAAAAAGGGAAAAGAAAAAAATGTGAGAGAATGAAAAGATGAAAATAAAGTGTTTGTAGATGGGGAGGGGAGGAGGGGGTGAAGGGAGGGCAGAGGTAAGGGGAAAAAAATGAGAATCAAGACTTGCCATGTAAAGGTACATGATCCCAACAATGAATGTAACTGTACTGTATCCCTAAATGTACCAATAAACTCAATAAAAAAAATATTGAAACATTACTATATTATAATATATTGTATGCATTTAATCTTGAGAGCCAGCTGCCTTCCTGTACCTCATTGAGTCTCATTAGGTAAAAAAGCTAGAAAGCTACAGAACCTGCTGTTGCAGAGGAGTTTGGAAGATGACAAGATGTTGCAGAGCCCCCAAAGGTCCTACTACAGTTTTAATTTTGATACCTTCTGCAGTATAAATGTACATAGACACAAACATATTGAAGGCTGCCAATGTTGAATGAAATATGTTTTACAAAATGATTCAATTTTCATAAACTCAAACATATTTAGGATAAATGAACAAATGCACATTGAGACCATAATACAAAGTGAAATAAATCAGATACAAAGGCGTAAATATCATAGGTTTCCTCTTCTATGAGAAACTAAAAAGATTTGTAAATAGTGAACAAAATAGAAAACGAATTGGGGGTAGGGAGATCCCTTTCAAATGGCTGTGGGGAACAAGACATGGAGGGGGGACAGAGGAAGGAAAAGAGGATGCAAAGAACAATTGAAAAAACTGAAAGAACTTTCAAAGATTGGCAGTTCGACTTTTTCTTTTGTATGTTCTACTGCGGATGGAACCTAGCGCCTGATCCCCTGCAAGAGCTCTACAACTGAGGTACATCCCCAGCTTGTTTTACTTTTTATTTTCAGATTGGTTCTCACCAAATTGCCCAGACTGCCCTTGAATTTGTGATCCTTGAGTCCCAGCTTCTGGATTGCTGGGATTACAGGCATGTGTAACCACATTCAGCACGAAAAGATGGTTATTTTTGGTACCTGTGCTATGCTTATACTGATTGGAAGAAGAACATTAAAGATATTTCATGCCAAATGCATGAATCTTAACTGTAAGCCAAATATCTGGAAGTCACTCACCCTGTTATCTTCATTGCCTAATGTGTCTTTTAGATCCTCCATTATCTTCCTTCATCATTGCCCAGTCTTCACCATTTCTTCCTTCACTTTTCTGCTTGTGCACAGTAACCTCTGTCCTGAAATACCTGCCTTACCGGGCTGTCTCAGGGCCTCTCCATTCCCTGTCCTCACTTGCAGCAAAAGCCCCTGAATTTCCATAGATGGGAGACTGGAGTCTGTAGACACCATGTGCTATCATCCACCCCAGACTCTCTTGCTGTGCCCTGATGTTCTCTTAACATCAGCTCATGCTCCCATCTGCCCTCTTCCATATTAGGCCACTATCACTTAACAATACCCACATTTGTCCTTCAAGGCCAACGACGTGTGTAGCCAGGGACATCTAGACACAGGTAGAAACAAACTAAAATGCCAGGAACAGAAAAATGGTCAAATAATGCATGAAACCATTCTCTAGGGCCATGTTTTTTCCCCAGGAAGTATCACATGAAATTAATGTTGTATCAGACTTCTTAATAATATGAGAAAGTGGCCTTGATATATTAAGAAAATAATGTTGACTGTAAGATAAAATGTATAGTATGCTTCACGCTTGTCATAGAAAAGTACTTAGAAAAAGACTAGTGGGAGGACCAGGGGAAAGGAAAGAAGGGAAAGGAAAAAATATGAGAAAATGAAAAAATGGAAACAAAGTCTCTGTAAATAGGGAGGGGTTGAGGGGTTGGAGGAAGGGCAGGGGAATGGGGAAAAAGAAGAACCAAGATACATCATGTAAAGGTACAAGATCCCAATGATAACTGTAACTGTATTGGATACCTCAAATGTACCAAAGCTTCATGGAATAAAAATAAATTAATGTGACTGTAAGAAAAAATATGTAGTATGGTTCAATTTTGCCACAGGAAAGTTCATAGAAAAAAGACTAGAAAAATATACTTCAATTCCTAAAGATGGTTATTTCTGAGTAATAAGATTGTGATCGATACTAATTTTCATCATTTGCTTATCTGCATAGCCTTATTTTCTCATAGGGAAGAATATGTTTAAGAAATCTGAAAACAGAGACTAAATAAATGAAACACTGCTTTCTTTGCAAATCTTTTTCTTATTCACTTAGGTAATCATTCCCTTCCTTAGCCCACCCTGGTAGTTTGTCCATACCTGTGTTATTGAAGGTGTTACTATAGTGTAATGGCTGAATTTTTCTCTTTTCTCCAAGTCTATATTAGGCCAGGGATTGTGTGGAGTTGGTGGTGGTATTGTGTGTGCTGTATGATTGCAGCATCTGGCAGAAAGGTTTTTTTTGTTTTGTTTTCCCTGTTCTGGGAACTGAGCGTGGGTCCTTGCATATGTTGGAAAGCACTCTACAACTGAGCCACACCCCCAGTCCCTAATCAGTGTCTCATGAATATTGTTGGAATGAATGAGGAGGAGATAAATTCACACTTACAATGTATGATCAATATTGCAACATAGGCACTGAGCTTGGACAGGGAAGTTCACAGTGTTCCTGGGATCGGAGGGCTGTTAGTAAAATCTACTTTAACAAAACAAAGGTGTCTCTTTTGTAGGGAAAATAGGGGACTTCCTCTGAGACAAATGCCTTGTGTCATGATGGAGAAAGTTCTCAGGATCAGAGCCACTGTCAGGGGGGTGTCTGAAGCAGCTGAATGAAGAACTTCTCAGGGAAAAAGCGTGTGGAGAGAGGAGGCAGAGGCTGCTTGACTGTTGGAGAGGGAGGAAGCAATGTGAAGCTCAGAGTGAGGGTGGCAGTGTGTCCAACAGAGAAGGCTGTGGTTGTCACAGAGGTGGGAGGAGAGGCAGGAGGAAAAGGCAAGGCTCTGTCACATGGTCAGGGATATAGAAGATCCAAGGTGGACAGAGAATGGTAGTCAGGTGGGCAGTTAGCAGTCACAGGTGACTCCCATCCTTTATTCCTGGAACCAGTATGAATGTGCATGCTTCTCTGCTCAGGGCATGTGGGTTCATGGGGACAACAAAGGAAAAGAGTGGGGGTGACAGAATACTCACACAACTATCCCGGGGCTGCTCCGTTCTCGCGTCTGCAGCTCACTGTCATTCAGTTGAAGCCACTTGACACGATTGCAGAATTTAACACAGAAAGTGACCAGCAGGAGTTCCGTGTCTGTACGGACACACACCCTTGTGTCCTGGAAATGCGCCATTTCCTGTGTCAGGAGCTCCTCATCTTGAGTCTCATACAAACAGTGGAAGAAGTTCAGAGAGTATCGTGGCCCATGTAGGGTCTCCTCCTTGATGCACTGTAGCAGCTCCCTCCTCCTTTCAGGAGGCAGTGGGCAGGTGAAGATCTTCATCTCTTTGGCCCCATGATTACTTAAAAGGCCAAAAAGGAAGCACAAGGTTTGTGTTCTGAGTGGGTCATGGCATACATATATTTTTAGCAAATTTATCATCCATCTGAGACTGAAATTATTTTTGTTTCTATGCCTTGCATTTTCCAAGATGCAGGACACTGCTGCAAAGAACTCCTGGAAACACTGGTGAGTGAAGCTGTAGCTCAGAGTGCAGGGGTCCTTTTGAAGAATGCCCATCTTCAGGAAGGTGAGGATGATGGCTCCTTCTAAGCCACGCTTCCTAAGTTCATCTGCACTGAAAAGGGTCTTTCTTAGCAAGATGCCAGCAAAAGCCAGAGAGCACAAGGGCCTTAGCTGAAGCCTTTGTAGTGAAGCTGGGATGACCTGGGAAAGGTAGTGGAGAAATAGGGCTGTGGTGGTCTGAGAGGTCAGCGGGTGCTCTTTCCCCTGCTCCATCTGCTGCTTCAGGCAAGTGCAGACCAGCCAGCACACCCAGGGCACGAGACACAGGGTCGAGAGTGCTGGGTTGGATTCCACCAAGCTGAAGGCTCTAATTGATTGGTTTTCATCTGTGAAATATTTCTTGAAATATTCCTCCTTTGCAGACTCAGAGAATCCTAGAACTTCTACCCAACGTGGCCTCTTTGAAAAATGAGTGAAGTTTTGCAGAGATGTGGCCCGAGTTGTGATCAGAAAGAAAGCCCTGAAAAGTAAGAAGTTTCCTAGTAAAGGGCGCAGCACTGCAAGTGCTGAATTTGAATATCTCCCTTGTGGCTGTTGCTCAGAGTCAAGATCCTCCAAAGCTGATTCTGGCTGATCCACATCATCCAGGATGAAGAGCACCTGTTCTACACAATACACGATGTCCCTGATGGGAACTGCAGTGGAAGCCCAGTCTGTTGCAAGCAGCTCCTCCAGGCTCTTTACCTTGCACTGGGTCAGGTGCCTGCAGTTGAAGTAGAAGACATACCGGAAGCGGTCCCTGTACAGCTGGCCTTCCTCCCAGGCCCCTCTCACCTGCCTGGCCAGTGTTGACTTCCCAACTCCAGCAGCCCCGTACAGTATGACTGTATGAGGTCCTTCTTGGGTACCTGGGCCTGGCCTAAATAAGTCTTGGATCTCGATCAAATGTCCTTGCCCATCTACTGAGTCACGAATCCAGTTTTCCCTGGCCAGGTGTTCTTTATCTCTCATAGGAGGTGTACGTAGAAGCAGCAGCTGTGTGAATTTTTCATGGAAATACTTAGTTTTCCAGGACTTTTTAGGGAAGACCTTCTCTTTCATCTGATCCTGGTAGCTTTTTCCAGTTCCTAAGAAATTGAGAGAAGTATGAATTCAGGGGACCCTCTTTGCTATAAAATAATAATCTACACATTTGTTTTCATTGTCTTTGGTGGGGACATTTCTGACAATGTGAATATTTTCTAAGATGGCTACCCGGGATCATAGTTTGGGCCCTGCCAAGCGAGGATGTAGCCCTTTTGATGTCACATTCTCCAAATCTAGTCATGGATCTGTGGTCATGCACATACTTAAATCCTCTTGAGTCGAGGATACTTAAGTTTTTTTCTTACTTATTTGAATCTTATGAGATGGGTGTGAATCTCAATTTTAACAGGATTTCATTTTTTAATAACCATCCTGAAATTCTTGGAGGGAACACAGAATGTATTAGGTAGAAAGATATTGATAAACCATTTGGTGAAGGGCTGCACTCCCTATTTTAAGTAGCAATCTAGTTGCACGTGCCAGTCAGTTGAAGGTGGCTCATATTCAGTTTTCTAAGCTCTAAAACTGACCACATGAGGGGAAGCAGAAGGGAATTGCTCTGGGTTGCAGAGAAGGGAAGAACTGGTGAAGTTGGTTACTGCAGAGGGACGAGCAGGAGAGAAGAATGCCCTCGGAGGCATAAAAGGGCTGCACGTGGGAAGAGGTGTTGGCAATGTAACCTTTCTGCTACACGTTCGGGAGAATGTTTCCTGCACAGCTTGTAGAAGTGCAAATTCTGTGCTATGGAGTGGCAGGTGGTATGTGGAGAGCAGAGTAGGTAGTAGGAAGGTTCTGATACGGAAATGAGATGCAGAAGGGTAGAGTGGCTTGTTTCACATCATGCATCGAGGGGCGGTAACAGAAGGAAACCCAAAGGAAGTGGAGTTGGAGCCTGTTACCACCTCTGGCAGCGCTTGGGTCAAGAAGGGTGGGATTTGGCACAGAAGGAAGGGGAAGATGAAGGAGGGAAGGGGAGGCTTTCACAAAGAAGTGGCAGTGTGGAGTAGAAAAGCCCTTTCTCGGGCATGGGATGTCTTAGGTTCTAGCACAGGTTCTGCCTCTAAGTACTTGGTGAACTTGAACAAGTGAACTTCTGCTCTCAAAAGGTGTGATCACTTTGAAGAGGAACATGCTAGCTAATGTTTGGTGTCTGGGATTTGTTGACCTAGATAGGAGACTAAAATGGGAGAAAACAGATGGGCAATTGTCTGGGGCTGAGAAATGAGCCCAGCCTTCTCTTGGATTTTACTTGGAGAATTGAATCCTCTTTGGGACTTCTGGACCAACATGACCTTGGGGATCATTAGCACCCACAAAATATGGGGTGAGTTTCACTTCCAGACCCTCATGGGTCTCAGGTTTTTCATCTGTGCAGTGGGTGGAGGAGCAGTCTCAACGCAGGAAAGTCCCTGAAAGACCATTTGTAGCTGCATTACACTCACCAGCTACCTCATTTCCAAACTTCCTCTGCAATCCTCCACCCCAGCTCCCTTGCAGGTACACGCTTACCTGCGTGGAAACAGTGGCCAACTCAAAGTCCCAGCCAGGGCTCTTGGTGTAATTCAGCAGGCCTTACCTATCCTGCTGTGTACAGATTCCTCAGACAGCAGTGTCAAAGTCTTTTTCTATGAGCCCATGCTATGGAAATGGAACTTTTAGAGGATACCTTGTCAAGTGTACTTGTGGCCTCAATGAATGAAGGTGAATCAGCTATGTTAAGTGTACAGAGCAGTTGAGTATCATTAGAGGCACAGAGCAGAAGCCAGCGAACCAAGGCTGGTTTCTTGGTATCAGTTAGGTTCTCTGTCTAAGCAGAGAGGTTTGGAGATAATAGTGAATCCACTGAATGTTTGATTCCTCCACAGACACATGTGGTGAATGATGCTTTTATATGGGCAACCAGGTGAAAGGTCTCGATCTGGCATCCAGGAAGTTTGTGTTATTGTTCTGGCTGTATACTAATTCTTTGTGTACGTCAGCATTCCTTTCACCTTTCCAGCACGGGATTAGGTTCTTTTACCTCCCTGGCATACGAACAGTAGCAATAGCAGCAGCAGTAAAAGCCATAGCCATATCTACTATGCATTTACTAATAGTTTCTGTTAGAAGTTTAGCATGTTTTATCTCTATTCACCTGCACACATCCCAAGGAGTCAGGTCTTTACTCTCCCACTTTTCAGATGAAGAAAGTGATGAATGACTTGTGTGGGGTAGGAGTGCCAGGACGAGGACCTGCCTCTTTTCAGCTAGCTCCCAGGCCCATGCTCATAACTACAACATGCAGCAAGCACTCTCCATGGGCTTGACCACCGTGCCTGTTCCCACAGTTCCCTTTGGAGTGCCACCCTCTCCTCTCACCCCTCTCCAGCCTTGGTAGGCCTCTCTGCCAGGTGCCCAGAGGATGACAGGCAGACCTTGGAATGTACTCCAGTGGAAGAGGGTTTGGGGCCCTGAGGTCCAGCATGGACCCTGCAAGCCTCTTAGTTCTATCCCACTGTGGAACCTTGATCTTTATTTGAAAATGCAGTTTCTGCCACCACCCAGAGGAAGGGCTGATTGGGCAGGGTGGTGGTGATAAGTGTCCACACAGAGTGTTTTGTTTTACTCACCCAAGATCGAGTATGCTTCTCCCTGGGTCTTGACCTGTACGTGTGTCAAATGCATTTGCTCCAGGGTTTTGATGGTCAGGTCCCAGGCCTGCTGCTCTCCATACAGAATCTCCAAGCTTGAGATCACCTCTGATGCACTAATCTTCCCTGCTTGAGCTAGTGCTGCAGCAGAAGTGATCCCAAGGTGTGCTTCCTTGGGGAGCTGAAGCAGGAACTCCTTTAACTCCTCCTCCTTCTTTAATAGGTCCAAGTAATGCTGTAGTTCACCAGACATTTTTGTTCTTGGCAGGGCAGCCTTAAAACAATGTTCATGGGGTATTTTGGTGAATGGGTGAATGTGAAAAGCATCAGGAAGACAGGACTGGGATCTCCCTTTGCTTTGGTCCCTAGAATCTCCCAGTGCAAGACTCACTGCAGCATCTACTAATTTATTATAGAGAAGTGATTGAGAGGGAAGTGGTAGAAAAAGCTATAGTCTAGTGGCGCCTGGAGTGGACTGAGAGACATTGGAAGAAAGCATATTATACAGGGAGTTGGAACAGGGCTCAGATCTATCAAGAAGGGAAATGGGGAACAGGAATGGAAGAATGGAGGGATAGGAACATGAGGAGATACGATGTGAATAACATTCACTGGTTTATTTTCCTCAAATATTCTCATCACCTTAGATATTCCTGTGTTGACTCCTTGGGATCAACCTTGAACAACTTAACTCACTAGAGGTGAGGTGATGAGAAATGCAATGCAGGTGGTTTCCTCAGCTCCCAGACTGTGCTTAAGGCTTGCATTTGTGGTTCTCTTCAGAACTCTCCTGGTTCTGGGACACCAAGCAGACAGAACAACCTTGTTTTTGTCACAGTAGGAAGGACAAATTACCTAGAAGGAACTTCCAAATTGCCTGGCCAAGGGAGAGCCAGGAAAGGCCTACATCACAGCCCATACAGACACATACAATGTACAAGCTCCCACAGCATCTCCTACCTATGTCCTGGAGCAATGGTGGCAAACCTATGACACACATGTCATTATGCTTTCATTCTAAGAGAAAAGAAGTTAGTGTAGAGATGTTTTTTTCTAAACGGAAAGCTCAGTATTCAGGTTTAACTGCAGCGATGGCACTTCACAATAAAGAAGTGGGTTTCAGGTTGCAGTTTGGCACTTGCCCTCTAAAAGGTTCACTTTCAGTGCACTATAGCCTTCCTGCAGAACCAGGGTGAAGATTCCAGGCAGGGGCTTGGGACCAACACTCTTGCTTTCAGGATGGGTGGGATCCCCATGTCTGCCAAGAGAGCTCCTTAGTGGAAAGCATTAGAATCAGGCCAGGGAGCATCGGTCCCAGCCTTTTTATGGATTTGGGAACTTCCTGAGCTCTATGTTCACCCTGCCATGTTAGGAGCCCACAGATATATGTGTTCCAGACCCAGTGACTGTGTGGCAGGCAGTCCAGCACTCTGCTAGGAAACATCGTGCCAATAGCTAAATTAACCCATGCTCATCACCCAAAAGACAGACATTAGGGAGCCAAGCACAGATATTATTCTTCTTTCTCAAATTAGAGGAACTTGCAGACTCTACATTGAAGAATGATATTACATAACTCGTAAAGTTACACCAGGAATTTCTGCACATGCCTTGATTTACCTTGGGCTGGAGGGACCGGGCTTGAGGATCTTCACTACCCATCTTGCTTACACACTATCTCACTGGTTGATTCTTTCTCTGAGTCCCAGTTTTCATCATTTATAAAATGGGATATTACAAATTTGCCAAGAGGATCCAATTTAGGAAATGCTCTTGAATCATCCCCAAACTGAGCTCTTGTTAATACTACCTCCCCGCAACCCCAGACTTCCCTGCTCACAGGGTCAATTTAGTAAGTGATAATTAGGGCCTGCACATCGAATCTTCTTTGAACCCTGGCTTCTTCTCAAACCTTACATCCAATCTAACAAGTCTTACTGATACCATCTTTTAAATGATTATTTGTAAATTTGATTTGTCTTCCATCGGTCTTCTGTGTTCTGTTTATAACTTCATATTTTTCTTTATCAGTCTCTGAATGTGCTAATTCATTAGCCTGTACTCAAGCCTGATATTCTTTCTTCCACTATGATCTAGTAGTGTAATGGTAAGGCTTTCAAATTAATTTTTTGTTTGATTTATTGAGTGATTCACTTCCAAGATTTCTGTTTGGTTCTTCAGAATTTCTCTTTAACAAATTGCTCTTTTCTGTCCTTTATGATTTTCTTTACTTTGATCCTTTTTAAGTCATTGATCATTTAAAAAATCATTAAAAATATTTTTTCTGTCCAGCATCTCACCCATTTTGATTTCTTTGGAACGAGTTACTGAAGAGCTACGAACATTTGGAGGAGTTAGACTGGCTTGTTTCTTTATATATTTTTGCATTTTTATATTGAAATCTATGCTTCTGTTGGGAAGGAAGTATTTTCCATTTTTATGTGAGGGATCTTCTTAATGAGCAGTCCTCATTAATGAGGACTTAATGAGGGCTTAAATTCCAATATCATGCAGACAGAAGAGAAAGAAACAGAAGAACAATGATAACGTAAATTAGAGACATCCCGGGAGGGCAAGGGGTTTAGCTCAGTGGTGCCATGGCCTGCCTCACAAGCACAATGTCTTGAGCTTGATCCCCGGTAACAAAAACAAAACAAACAAACAGAGCCATCCAGGGAGGAAATAGAAATGAACAACTGAAAATGAACCAAGAAGTACATAAAAAAGGAAAACAACATGAATTATACCCAAAAGATAAAAATGGATAAGAAAAAGAGTAGTATAGGAAGAAAAGGGCTAAAGGTGTAGGGAAAGTGGAAAGGGAATAAGGGAAAATAAAAAATATGAGAAAAATGAAAAAATGGAAATAAAGTGTTTGTAAATGGGGAGGGGAGGAGAGGGTGAAGGGAGGGCGCGGACAAGGGGAAAAAATGAGAACCAAGACCTGTCACATAAAGGTACAAGATCCCAATAATGAATGTAACTGTACTGTATACCTAAAATGTACCAATAAACTCAATAAAAAGAAAAAAAATAAGAGTAGTAATAGTAAAATAATAATAAAATAGTAAAATAATAAAAGGAAGGGGAACTAGGCAAAGAGAAAGAAACAATTTTTTTATTATATTACTATTTTCTTTAGGAATGAATTAATATTAGCCTACTGTAACATTTTACATTATAAACAACTTTAAAAACTTTTGACTTTTATAACACTTAGCTTAAAGTGCATTTTTGTATAGCAGTACAAAAACATTTTTTCCTTATGCTCTTACCCTAAATCTTTTTTCTATTTTTAAATTTTTACTTTTTTCACTTTTTAAACTCTTTTGTTAAAAACTGAGACACACACACATACACTAGCCTAGGCCTACACAGGGCCAGGAAATATCACTGCCTTCTACTTCCACATCTTGTCCTAATGGAAGATCTTCAGGGGCAGCAACATGCATGGAGCTGTCGTCTCCTATCATAATAATGCCTCCTGGAATTCCTCAAGAGAACCTTCCTGAGGTAGTTTTACAGTTGACTTTTTTAACATGTAGAAGGAATACACGCTAAATTAATGATTAAAAGTATAGTACATGCACAAACCAGAAACAGTCATTTATTATCACTATCAAGTATCATGTCCTCCTCCCTATACGTAACTGTCGGTGCTACACTTCTGTATGACTGGCAATGTCATAGGTTTGTTTACATCCCCACAAACCTGGGAGTAATGTATTGAGCTACAATATTATGACAGCTCAAATGTCACTGGGTGATAGGAATTTTTCAGCTCCATTATAACCTCTGGGGACTGGTGTCATATATATGCAGTTCATTATTGATCATAGCTTTGTATGTGGCTTGCGACTGCAAGAGCATCTTCCATTTTTGGCTCTTATAAGTAATAAATTAAGAAAATGTGTTCATCACCTAGCACACTGTAGTAGATACATAACAGCAACAATGAAAACATAAATTGACCGAGCCTTATGATGCCTGTTCTGAGTACTTTAAATGTGCTACTTTAAGTAATGTCATTAACAATTTAGTGATAGTAATATTTTCTGAGAAACCCTAGGCACAAACATCTTAATTTGCACAAAGTTGGTTGCTTAGTAACTACTCTAATTCTTGAATATCTTACATCCAAAGGACACTTCTTCGTTGTTTTTTTTTAAAACTCTCTTTAAAAGCTGATGGCTAATGTTGTTAATTATTTTCTGTTAAACACTCCTCCTACCTTGACCTCCATGATTTGCCTCTGTCCAGTTTTTCTTCCTCTGATTTCTACTTTTCAGTGGTCTCCTTGTTAAACCACATTTTAAATGCCCAACTTCTCTCCCATTTTCTCCAATTCCTCCTTCTTGGGGGAACCCCTCCGATGTGATGTGGTAGCTCATTTTCTGCCCTTCTTTGATGAGTGCTGGTCTCTTCTCAGCTCTAGGCTACAGCCACACTTTTTCTTTTTTTTAAATCTGGATATTTCTGATAATCAGCTAGTGCCTTCGGCCAAGTGTAACTACACCTATCTCTATCTTATTTGGTTTCTTGAAGTCACTTCTTAGCTTACTTTAATCACCTTTAGTTCCATTCTGACATGGTGGTGTCAGTGATATCTTTCAATGGGCTCCAGCACACAACTACCCCCACATCTCTGCCAACCCTAGCATCGTGTCCTGCTCAGTCTCACCACTGTCACCTCCTTAAGTGTCTCCTCCTTTGGAGGACCAGCACCTGCTCAGATTCTCCCACTGTCTTCTTTTTCAGCTGTTTTTTTCTCTCATTTTCCTAGAGTTACTTGTTTTTTCACAACTCTATGGCATTATCTTTATAACTCTGCATTTTATCTGTTATTCCCATGCAAGCTCCTTAAAACCCTAGCACCATTCACAACAGGATTTCAGACCTTTGTTGATTAGTGAATGCTTTTGGAATCCTGAATTACCTTTCTGAGCAATATGATTTGCTTCCAGCTGTCCCTAGAGTCAGCATAACCTTGTGGTTAAAAGTGCCAGTTCCCCATTGTAGAGATTCTCTAACTGTTCTAGAATGGAGCTTGGTGACACCAGTATCATGTAAATACGTAAAAGGAAGCAAGAGAAAATGAAAGCTCTTCCCCTCTGCATGAACCTAGGCAAGTGACACTTTCCTGAGTCCTTGGTTTTTCGATGACAAAATGGGGGTAGTAGTTAAAGATCTCTGGAGATTTAAATGAGATTATACTGTATATGGAAGGTACTTGTGGCACAGTGTCGATCACAC